TCACTTGTCAGTGGTTTAAATGTTTTGGGTGTAACTGAATCAAGAAAATAAGCATCATTAGGTTTTAATACCCCTTTTTGTCATGCTGCTCTGGTCACAAGTTGTTTTGGTGTCCTGTCAAGACCAAAGCAAGACCATGTTCAGAGTTTTGCCGAGGGTTGACCCCAAAATCTTCACATTTTCAATCTTCACATTACCTGCCGTGTTACAGTGTGTGCTGCACTGTCAAAGGGCTGCTGGACTCTGATATTAGGTCAGCCTGGAATCATCTGCATACAAGTTGTTGCCATGTGGCAGATAGTCTCCACCAGCCCACACCATGGAAATCTTGCGTTTTCTCTAAAACAAATGCAGAATTACCTCAATGTGTTCATAAACAGGGTCACCTTAAAGCAGAGGGGCTGATCTCCCTCTCTGCTTTCACTTAGCTTTCTGTTATTTGTTTTAAGATGATGCAGGGTGCTTGATGGTCCTATTGTATTTCTGCAAAGCAGCTTCTGAGCCCAGTGGATCTTTGGGTTACTCACATAACCGATGGAGAACTGGTTTTGTGATGACATCACATGCTGAGCTGTCCTGGGGTGCTTTGCAGTTTGTTGCACTTTGTATTCCAACTAAGAGTCAGTCAGCATGCTAAGAAAATAAACGCACAGCATGGTATATTTAAAAGCCTCTCTTTTGAAGAGCCACCACTGCATAGTTCGGCTATTGTAAACACAGCACAATAACCTCTGTAAACCCTGTCATATTAAGAATTTACACTCGTGTTTGTGTCTGTATAGATGCTGTATTTTCATCTTTCAGCAGTGCTGTAATTGAATCCCGCTCACTGAGCAGCCCTCTGCAGTGAACCTTAGAGACTCCTATAAATAAACTGACAACTCTCCTTCAACACTTGCCTATATGGCATATGGAATGATTAGCTCATGGCTGGAGCCCTCTGATCTTACAGTGTGTAGCCACAACTATTTTCTGTCAGCTATTTGCATTGCTTAACTCATGGATTGCATCAAGAATGGGGTCTCTGAGGAATTCATAAAATGTAGCTGTGTTGCTGTGTGTGTTGGCCAAACATTAACTTATTATGTGTAACATGATATTGTATTAACAGGATAATTTATTACAAGAAATGTTTATAAGAGGACTTATTAAGATTGGTCAGTATAACTGTATAAATTGTTGTTTTGATCATTAAAAAGTGCAGTGAAATCTGCATCGATGGCAGCAATAGATAAAACAGATGCGTTTAATCCCTTTGATTTTTGCGCTGTCCTGTAAAGACTTTGCTATGATATGTTCTTAATACTAATCTTGTCACCTCTACACTGTGGCAGAGGATCTTTTGGCATTTTTCACCTGTGTTAAGGAAAGTCTTACATGGATCAAGAAAAAGGATGGGCCAGCTAAGCTGCCTGCTCTATCCTCTGAACACCTTGCCATCACCGTGACTGAGACAGTGGTCACCTTTAGGTGCCTGTAGTAGAATAGCTCCAGCTCCAGTCCCTGCTTTCTTTTCAACTTTCTCATGTGCATGAAAACAACATGGAGCTTTCATGTCAGCTGTAATGGGTAAACACTCTTTACCCATTCTGAATGAGGCCATTTGTGTTGGATTTAAGACTTTTTTTAGCGCATTGTTAGTACTTATTTTAACATCATTTTCGACATTGCTGTTGATTCCTTCATCGACCACAGGTGTTATAGGTCACCAGTTCTAATGTAGGTATGATGCAGCACAAAACACTGGAGCTGGTAACCCAGTGCACCAGCATTTTTATTCAATAGGAGTATTTTTAGTTTCAAGCACACTGTACAAAACTATGACGCACAACTCTTGTTATGCATTTTACTTTTCATTTATTCAACATTAAGTGGAGTATTAATTTGAGGTAAGCCTTAAACTAACTGTTAGTTTTGATTCTTTGCTGTTAGATGATTTTATTTTGTTGAGCAGTTAATAAAGCTGGTATTTTGACTTGAGTTCAGTTCATTTGCCCTGTTTTAACTGCTCAGTGTTAGTTCATTTTGTATATGTCACGGTTCTGGGTCAGTTTCTACCCAGTATTTTGAGTTTATTATGTTTTGGTTTAATTTTGCATCAGGAATTGTTCTCTTGTTGTGTTAATGATTATGATGTTTATTATTAGAGTTTCATGTTTCTGTTTATTTGTGTTTAAGATTTGTGTTCTCATGTTTTGTGTGGGTTTAGTTCCATGTGTTTTTTTCTGTCGGTCTCTCAGTGTCAAGTCTGCGTCTTTGTGTAGTGTTCTTGTTTCCTGTTTTATTGTGAAGGTCTGCATCTCATGTGAGTGTGTGTGTGTGTTCAGTTTTACCTCTGTGTCGTCTTGTTGATTACTCCCAGCTGTGTTCCCCACCTGTGTGTAATCTCCCTGTGTTTCTCTGTGTGTATTTAAGTCGCGTCTTCTGTGTTTGTAGTTGCTGGTCCGTCTGTGTATCCACCCTGCTTCATCTGTGTGTTTCCCTGCTGTCAACCGTCATCTTTTTCCACCCACTCTCATTCATGTCCAGGTTCGTGTTCTGTAGTCACTTTGTTCCCAGTTTAGTTTAGTCTTTGCTCCGTTCGCCGTTTGTCCATTTCCTTTTTGTGTTTAATAAACCACCCTCACACCTGTACAAGTGCCTGCGTTTGGATCCTCCTTTATTTTCCACACGGCTCATCTCACTCGCCGTGACAGTATATTTTTGCATTTTGGGGGTAAATAAAATGCACTTTTTCAAAATACCCACCGTGTCCTCGTGTCTAACCATCTCAGTCCCTCACAGTATACATATTATAAGTAAGTGTGTATATATGTATATATATATGTATATGTGTGTGTGTGTGTGTGTGTGTATGATGAAACGTGTGGGCTTCAACTGAGGCCACAACTCAGCATGAGTAAAACTGCATTATAAGGGATGAAAGAACGATGAAGAGGAAACTCATACAACACTTGCTGGAAGCCAACTACACACTACTAGGGCACTTATTCTGTCAGTAAGCAAACTGAACTGCTAATACAAAGTAAAACACCACACTAACAAAACATGCAAACAAATGATATCACCAGCACAAGTGAGCAAACTCCCAGGACAACAACCGCTCATGTGACCTGGGTGCAGCCACCTATCAGGGTATGGCACTGACAACCCAAATACAGAGGCAAAATAAGTGAAAGCAAGCTTTAGCTGCTGATGAAAAGTTCAAAGGTAACGAAAAGAGAAGTATGAAAACACAGGCAGCCAAAGACACCAGGAGTACACACTGAGTAAATCTTACAAGGAAGGGGACACATCCAGGAACATACACAGATCCTCTGCCAGAGAGGAGACAGGACTATATTTAAACTGACGACTGTCTGGGGACTGACAAACAGGAGAGGAATGAGATGAAGGTAAAAGTGACACAGAGGTGAGATAATCACAAAACAGGAAGTAAAACAAGACAAGAATGCAAAGAAAGCTTTAAAGAAAAATGGGAAATAAACAAAAAACATCACTAGAAATAGGATTATCATTAAACACACAGAGAGGGTAGAAGTTCAGTTCAGTTCAGTTCTTTTTTATTTCAAACATATACATTCACCAACGTTTCATAAAATCATTCCACACAGTTGTTTGAAGTTCTTAGTAGTCTTCACAAGGGGTAACACGGGAAGATATCACATCAAAACTGCAAAAACTAAACAACACAGTAAAAACCTAATTACCACAGCAGCAATAACAACAACTACAGTGAATTAAACTGATTTAAAAATAAAATAAAACTTCCATACAACAGGACCTCTGTGACCGGAGGAGTCGTCCCCTGCTCGTATTTACTTAGTTTTTCATACCTCTGAGCTACATCCATGTTTTCTTAATAGTTTTTGATCTATCCTCATACTTAAAACACACAAATAGCTCTGATCGTATTGGCTATTGTTCCACAAAGGACCAACCAATCGGCTACGACTGCACAACTTATAGCCTGGCAAGCTATTTAATAACCAGACATTGTTACCTATAGTTTTTTCCCTGCTAAATTGCATTAGCATCCTCTAGCTTTGCCACAATAAAGTTATTTTGACAAATGCCATCAGAACAAGTTCTTTATCACTAATCTTCCTCTGAAAACAGTACATTTGTTTTTGCTACACTGAAACACTCTGCGTGCATTCTTTATTGTCTCACCACATACAGCATAGGGACTGACTACTAGCCTTACTGGTCAGTACAAGTCAGGCCAGCTGCCCTTGCTGTACGGTAAAGAGAAGGCCAAAAGTCAGGGGGCGAGCTGACAGAGGGAGGGGCTGGTTGTCTCCTATTACTTGCTGCCAGAACTCAGCCAGCCTCATTATAACTTCTCTCACTCTGCTTTCTGTTTAACCACAACACCTGATACACAGTCATCATCTTACACCCTCCACAAACTTTAGGCCTGTCTCATCAAAGAGTGTGAACATAGATGTGGGCTTTTATCTGGGACCTGTGATCTTTTTGTGAAAGAGAAATATCAACCGCTGTTGGCGGTGTTGCCATGTAGTTAATCAGCATCTCTTGAAGGGTTGAGCTCATTTTTAAATGAACATTATTGGTAAGGTTTGATTGTGCAGTTAGGATGTGGTTAAACCCCCAGTAAACAGCTGATCGCATCACCTCATATCATGCAGTCACTGCCCTCAGACAATCACAAAACAGCATTAAGAGAAATATCAAATACAAAATCACGCTTACGTGAACTCTCCAGTGTGAGAGTTTGGACCCGAGGCTTTCGAGATGTCACTTTTGATGGCTCAATTGAATTGTGTGAAGGTGAAAGCTGCGGCTGACCTCTGGGTTCTTCATTACATGTAATGTAGTGTAATACTACTGGATCATATAGTCCATATTTAATAGCCATTAGATGCCAAAGTAGCAAAATTTACTGAATGATTTATGGCTGTTTGGAAGAATAGCTGCTCTGTGAATGGAAACCAGATTTGTGGCAGGGTGGGTGGGGGGTGGAGGTATGTGCACACATGTGTAAAGAGTAACAGGAAGCAGACCAGCTTTCTCAAATAAATCATTAAATAATTAAATTTCAAGTTTCTCTCCAAGCAATATTCTATTTTCTGTGTACTTTATGACAAAAAAAAAATGAGTATCAATATCAGCTGGTTTCTAGTGAGTCTCCCACCCTGTCAATGAACTCAGTGCCCACCATCTTTGACTGCAGCCCCTGGTGGTAACCTTAATCACACACGAGCTAGTTCTACACCTGCTACAGGTTCTGATTAGAGTGGCCCTCCACCTCAAAGCTGGTCATCAGAGCCGAACAAGGACTACAAATTCCACTTTTTTTCCAGATGGATGAGACTGGAGTGCTTTGAACCACAGGATGAGATCCTCTCTGAATGATATGGAGTACTGTCACAACAGCAACCTGAACACTGCAGCGTGTTTTATGAGGCTTGTTATTATATTCCTAGAAACAGAAGCAAATATTTAAGAGAAACACTGCGGCAAAACAAAAGAAAAAGCAAACTGTGTGCAATCAGTGTCCTGACCTTTTATCCATCCGTTTATTTACTGTTAAAAACATAAAACTACAGAATAATTGAGGTGACCATCATATTAGTTTTATTCTGAAATTTTAATGTGTAAGTAGTGAAGGTAACAGTGAAAGATTGTGTACAAAGTTTCTCTTAAAAAAAAGTGAAGGAAAAAATCCAAACAGGGATACAAAAACATTCAAGCTTCATAATGTATTAAGTCTGAAAAACCTCTACATATTTTTACATTTACACCACAAATACAGACGGTTTCTCTAGTGATTGTGATCTCATGATTCTTCTGAATGTGTTTCTATTAAAACAGATACATTGTAATCAGATCTGTATTAATCCTCAAACACATTTCAACATGATGGGCAAAGAAAATTGACCCCCCGATGGTGGTGGGAAATCACAGTCATTTGTAAAAATAAGGTAGGATATTGTTTCAAAGACAAATCGTCATTAAGATAGCGATACAGAAACTGATTCCTCCTGCTTTTTAAGGCACATAGCAGATGTGTCACGCCTGAAAATAGACTTTTGATGTCTACTTACTTCTATATTTAAAGCGCACACTTGGAATGGGAAACTGAAATAATCACAAATGTCAACAACAGCAACAACTAAAAAAAATGGCAGACACAGCAGAAATTTTGATTTGTACAAACAGTAACTGTAATAAAAAGGTGTCTTCAGCTCACAAACAAATCAGCTGACTCTAAAGGCTGTCTGTGGTAACACTGGTGACCTGCGGCTGCACCCTGTTCCTGTTACAGCTGAAGAGCCAGGCTGCCCTCCTGTGGCGGTAGCGCTTAGACAGCAGCACATAGAGCACTGGGTTGACACAGGGATGCAGGTATTGGAGCACAGTACAGATAAAGTGGAATATATCCCAAGCCGCTCTGTGGCGATACAGCCCCAGGTACACACACAGCTCCAGCACATAACTAGGCAGCCAGCACACTGAGAAGGTAGCTGCAGCCAAGAAAACCATGACAGAGGCTCTGCGGGTGTTTTTGGCACTGGACACTGACATTACAGGACTCTTGTGGAGAAACAGAGCCAGACGGACATAGTTGAATGCAATGACTAGCATCGGAATAAAGTAGTAAAGTACAAACTGGCTTAGGACCACTTGGTAGTGGTGCTCATGAATGGTTGGAAGGCAGAAGGTGAAGTTTGTCAGGTTTGGGCCCATGCTCTTTTTGGTAGCAAACATTCGCAGAGGCAGGCTAATAAAGAAGCTGAGGGCCCAGACCAAGACAAACATAAGAATGACCAGATCCATGGTGGGAGGCTGGTACGGGTTGGTGATGATCATGGCTCGGGTCATGGACACAGCGCATAGCGAATAGGTGCTAGCTGCCAGACTGAAGGCTAGCAGGAACTGGTAAACCTTGCAGGAGATGTCACCAAGAGGCCAGGAGTGACTTACAGCAGAGTGCAGTGTGAAAGGGATGAGCAGGAGAGTTAGGAAGTCAGCCAGAGTCATGCTGAACAGAAGGATATCGAGCCGGTTCTTACGCAGTGTGTTGTACTTGGCAAACAAAGAGAAGACCAGCAGGTTGGCACACAGCCCAATGCCCAGGATCACACCACAGGTACAGGCAAAGATTAACCCATAGGTGTTGGGAAAAGCCATGTTGTCATCGGAGTGACATCATCTGTCAGAAAAGAATGACATTTGGATTTTGAGATTTGGGTTAAAAAAGAACAATAAATTAATTAGGGAAATAAAATCCCGATTAATGACTCAACAAGCTGAAGTCCTGTTTATATCACATTTACTCTGCTTAATGTTAACACACAAGTGACAGCTTCATCACATGGCACCTGTAAGGCTTGTGTAGACCTACGTGTCACAGTAAATGACACATATATACCAAAACACATATATGATGCAAGGCAGAGTAAATGTAATGATCAACACTTTTGTTTACTGACAAGCCAAATTTATTTCAATATCACTTTAAGACAACGCTGAAAGCTACTAAATATCTACATTTACACTAAATATAGTGTTAAACAAATTAATATGGTTTAACTCAGACGTGATAGCACTGGAAAGAGACATCAGGTTAATCATTTTTTACTTACCATTGTTGTACCTCCATTATTAGCTCATGTCCACAAGTGAACTAACCTCATTATGTAAAATGAAACATTTGCTGGTTTGTATCCCGTTAAAACAAACTGTGAGATGTGAGAGCCTCTAAGGACTCATTACAAAGTGTGATCGCTGAATGTGAAGGCAAGAAAGGCAAACATTACTTGGGCCAGATTGATTCTGGTTGACTAGGTTTAAAGAGAAATGGACTCTGGTCACTCTGGGAGAGATCAGTGATATACAGTGCATACGTGTTTTGTTAGCATTCATGTTTCTTAGTTTTGTTATATGATGTTTGAAGCTCTGTAGTCTAGCAGTACATGAATAGACAACACTGGCCTATTTAGGGACATAAAAGGTGCTTTGTAAAAGGTCTGGTCTGGCAATTAATCATCAAAGCTAACTAGGCACCTATGTAAACCTGAGCAGATGATAAACACACTGATAAATGTGAATGCCCTATAAGATGTGTGGCAACAGCAGCAATGAGCATTGCAAAAGTAAACAGTAGCAGTTTTTCTTTAACCTCTAATCAAACAAAAGTGTTGATCATTTCACTAATGTGATATTTGCAGTACGATAGTGATAAGTTTTACTTGAGGGAAAGATTTCTTTTGCATTTAAAACATGAAAAAGAAAGAAAACGGGGCTACTGCAGTAGGCCTACCCTTGATGGTAGGCCTACTGCAGGAGTTCACAACCAATTCACTGTATTTATATGAAATGTTTAATGTCTGAGTGCGTATGCCCTGTGAGCCAAACACTTCCTGTCAGAAGTCTATTTAGAACTAGAAACGTCTGTTCTTGAACACAAGCAACAGAATGAAAGCTTTTCCAAGATTTGGCAGTTCAAGCTGACATTGTGCCAATTTCACTGTTTTAAGTTTGAATGTGATATCTTAGCCCTGAGATGTTTTTCTTGAGATTTTCTTATTATTCATCACAAATGTTCACTTGGACTCAAGGATGAACTGATTAGATTTTATTTTTACTTCATAAAACAAGTTCTTATTCTAATTCTTACAAAAAATTTACACAAATTTCTAATAGGATAAAATGATAAAATAATAATGTTTTAAAACCAAAAGGTCAAAGTTCACCTTCACTACCCCATAAAACACTCCACCACAACTAAGGAACAGAGGGAAAGATGGATTTATGTTATCTATGTTTCGTAAGTAGGCGCAGCAGCGACCTGTCTTTGATAGCAACAAACTAGCATTAGCTTCACAAGCTTTTCACCAGTACTTACCTGCAGTGTGCATTTGGTTATATGTGTGGACCGAAGAGAGGGAGCAAAATACTGACAACTCTACATCAAATGTAACCTGAGAGCATATAAAGATAAATGCATGAATATAAATGTGCTTACCTCTCTCTTTACCACTAGTCTTTGGTGTATTATAAACCATCTTTTGCTCGTATTATGTTTTTTTGATGTTTTGTTTTTGTTTTCTCTTGTTTTGTTGTTTTTCTAATCCCATAATATGGCCAGTGAGCGATGTCAAAAAAACCCCCACCTAGCTCATTGATTATGTTCTCTGTTCTTTCACGTCTATAGATATTAATTTTTCTCTGCACTGTTTGATTTCTTCAGTGTGAGCTGCAGGCTCCTAACGGTGGCTTTATCAGGCTTTCCACAGCTTTTATGACTCATTTTAGCTAATGGTGTACACTGCTGCTCTTAGTTCAGGATAGCTGACGTCGATGCATCTGCTAACCCCTCCATTATCGGTGTCTGTATCTTACGTTCAGTGGCTGTTAAAGTGCCACGTGTTCTCAAGTGGAACATTAACAGCTTCATTGTGTTCTGTTCATGCCGAAAGTCAACAACACTGTTTTTTCACGCTGCTACATTCAGCAAACATTTTAAACGTCTGTTTTGACCCAAATGTTACACTTACTATTATTCGTACTATTTTATCTTGATAATAATACAGCATTTGTAACTATTTTTCAAAGACTTTGAGGGAAAACTTACTATGAGCACTATAATAACAATATAATATAATAATTAATCAGTTATTGGATAAATAAAACGTTTTTTCAGACAATGTTGTAATCTTATATGATTCACAGAATTCATGGAATATGTTTCTATTCTGAAGTGCTGGTTAAAATAAAAAAAGGCAACTTGGTAGTGATCTCAAAGGCAACACACGGTCACAATAGGCTCTTAAAAATAGCATTTTCTAGCTCAGATTAGTTATTGATGATGCAAATAATCCCTTGTGTTGTCAGAAAATGTATATATTGCATACATACATCTGTAGGATATAAAAGAGTACTGAACGCCAAGTTTACTTATAATGGGTTGGATCCCCTTTTGCTCTCAGAACTGTCTTAACTTTTATGTTAAAGATGCTCCTCAGGAATTTTGGTCCACGTTGACATGACAACATCACACAATTGCTGCAGATTGGTGATGTGAATCTCCTGTTTCATCACATGCCAAAGGTGGTCCAGCAGGTAGAGATCTGGTGACTGTGGAGGCTGGTGAGTGCAGTGAACTAATGATCACATTCAAGAAACCAGTTTAAGATGATCTGAGCAAGTTATCCTGCTGGGAACAACCATTAGAAGACGGGTACACTGTGAAAAAGCGATTACTGGGTAACATTACTCAGGCTGTGGGATACAAGTGATGCTCACTTCATTTCTAAGGGGATCAAGTGTGACAAGACGATATCCCTAACACCATTATACCACCAGCAGCTGGAACCTTTGAAACCATTGATGGAGCCATGTTCTCATGTTGTTAATGCCAGATTCTAGCCCTACCATCCAAATGCTGCAGCAGAAACCTAGACTCATCAGACCAGGCAACATTTTTCAACTATTTTATTGTCTAGTTTTTGTGAAGTTGTGTAATTTCTATCCTTGGGTTTTTGCTCTTAGCACAGCACTTGGTGTGGGCTTCATCAAAGGTTGATTTGTCGTGCTGTGTGAGTGTATTTCCAATCTAACCATTCTCCTCTGATCTCTGGCATCAAAAAGGCATTTTTTACCCAGAGAACTGCCACTCAGTGAGTATTTTCTCTTTTTTAGACTATTCTTTGTAAACCCAAGAGATGTTTGTGTTGGAAAATTCCAGTAGACCATCAGTTTTTGAAATATTCAGACCTGGCTATTTGGCACCAACAACCATGCCACGTTCGGAGTCACTTAAATCACCTTGCTTCCCCATTCTTAAACTTGAGCTTTAGCAGGTCATTCAGGTCATCGTGCCCATGGCTAAATACACAAGGTGTGACTGGTTTATTAGATAGTTGCATTTGAGTAGCTCAACATATCTACCTAACAAGTTGGCCATTGAGTTTAGGATTTCTAGGTGATACAGACCGACACAGTTCACTGCATCATAATGTTGTAGTGTGACACCCACGAGGAGCTGGCAATGCCTGGTTAAAGGGGGATATTTTGCTGATAATCATATGATCAGGTCTGTGGTAAAAAACTAAAAATAAAATGTTTTTTTCATGTTTTTTCTTAATTCATCCTCTCTAAAGACTTGAGCTGTGACTTGAACCATGGTTTTAGAGGATTATTAGTCTCTTAGTAATTTGCCATTTCTGAATTTTCTCCTATTTTCTACATTTGTATAATTTGAATAACAAATTCACAATTATCAGTGCCTTTATTCGCTTCTTTTTCTCTTTTTTTTGTTTTTGCTTTATTTTGGTCTCACAGTCAAAAATTAAATATTAAAAATATTAAATGCTTTATTTTTAGAAGGAGTCCCAATTAATCAAATTGTTTGAATAATTTTTCTCAGCAAATCATTTTGGCTCTTTCTTAATGCCAGATTTTCCATATATCCTGGTAATAAAGACACAGAGAATAAAAAAAATAGCTCTAAGGACTACATATTTAATGTTTGAATAACTGGAAAATTATACAGTATGCCCTCAGTGCACGTGCAGAACATTATCCAGTAGATGATTCTGGCTTAATGTAAAAGAAAAATCCAATGTTAAGTGATTGAAGTGGGTTTAATGAAGCGTACGCTGAGTTATCTAAGGTGTGAAAGAAAAGCAGGACCATCATAGAAAAGAAAATTACTAAATCATAATCTCAACCACAAAAGAACATATACAGGATATAGCTAAAGTGCATTATGGGATTTAGTCAGCAGCACTGAAATACATTCACAAAATAAATATACATTTTAAAGTACAATAAATTATGAACTGATGTATTCATTGACCAGTTTGTTGTGTGTAAGTCCATAACGGTCAGCACTCAGAGCCAAACAAAAAGCAGGGTGCCCAGCATCGCATTATTTGTAGAAGTTATCATGTATAGGAAATAAATACTTCCTCCCGTGCTCTTGCATACATCTGAAACTACAAAACATATCACTGCTTGGAAGTATATCAGGGCTGCAGAGTTGTAAAGATTTTCCAAATAAATATGGACCTAAGCAGGTGTTATCATGAAACTAAAATGAAGTGTGAGATTGTTTTACAGCAAAAATACAAACAACAAAGCCAAATATTAATATACAAGCACAAACTCAGGGTTAAGATATAAAGTGACTGAGTCTGGCATCGTTAGTCTGTCAGGCATCAGTCAGCCTGCGTCAGTGTCTTAGTGCAGTACATAAAGGGTACTGTTTTTTTAATTTTTTGCTTTTAGATAGCCATCCGTGGTGGCGCCTTTGTTAGAACAGACCGTGCTCGCCTCCTCTTCTTATCGTTTTCTCTACGCCGGCCCAGCCTCACCTTTTTTTTCCTCTTGGTGGCAACTTTAAGTGACTCCTTATAAGCCTGAGCTTTGTTGGTCTCCTGAGGGAGGTTAGGGCCCACTCTGTCCTGCCTGAACCTGTCAGAGAGATCTTTGGTGGCCCCCGAGGGCTTCTGGTGGTTTCCACTGAAGCTTTGGCTCGAGGTTCTGCTTTGTGCAGGTGGAGCACGATCATCAGCCGTGTGCACCTCCTCCAGCAGCTCGTGTAGCCACATGCGGCGCGTGTACTCATGTATGGTGCGGCCCTTATCATGCATCAGCTGGGCGTGGCCTACTGACCTCTTCCTTACAGCAAAAAAAAAAAAAAGTGCCAAAGTTATATTAAATTGTATCGAAAACAAAGGTAGTAAAAAAGCCACATGGCGGACTATTAGAAATCCGTTTCAGTCTCTGATATCTCTTAGATTACTGCTGAACATTAATCCCAGAGGAATATATCATTTCCTCTGGGATTAATAAAGTGTCTGATTCTCAGTCAGTCATTTAAGAACTTTTTTTGTTTAAATTTTATTTGACATCTCAGTGTTA